ATGCATGCATTGGCCAGCTGATTTTTGGCCTTGATATTTTGGCTGTTTTTCCCTGAAGCTTCTGGAGGGCGAAAAGCAGCCCAACAGGCAGACTGGAAGTTCAGGAATGGACTGCTGGTTTGTGCATTAGGTTGTTTTTCACTCTCTTGAGACTTCAGGGAAGCCTCCTGAAGCGTAGGGAGGGAGTTTGAAGTTTGAAGTTTTGTTTTATTTATATGCCGCCCTATTCCCTGCAGGGACTCAGGGCGGCGTACAACTCAAACGGGGAAGGGAACATACAAATACAAGACAGATATTTAAAAATAACCAACAACCATGCCTGTCGAGAGGGGAAGGGAGCTCATCAACCCCAGGCCTGCCAACACAGCCAGGTTTTAACAGTTTTTCGGAAGGCCGGGAGAGAGGTGAGGGTCCGAATCTCCGTGGGGAGTTCGTTCCAAAGGGCCAGAGCTGCAACAGAGAAGGCCCTCTCCCGGGTCGTAGCATTGGCTGGTAGACGGGACCCGGAGGAGGCCGACCCTGTGCGATCTGATGGGTCTTTGGGAGGTAATTAATTTAAAGTACAACTGGAAAAAAAAGTGACCTGTTTGGATATTCCTTGATGATCTGATAAATGCTAATCTTAATCGTTTCATTCTCAAACCGGCTGTGACTTCGATCCTTGTAAATCCGAAATTCGGCTGCGGTCACTGCTTCTCCGTGTGGGATTTGAGTCAAATCAAATCGGAATTCTTTGTAGTGCCGTCGTTGGTGAGAAAAATCCTTGTCTCTTTCCACTATGAAAATAAAACGAAACGAAAAGGTTAAAAAAAAATCCACACGCCACGTGAATCCAGCACTCATTACAGGTTTTAATTTAAAATCTAAAGAGACGCTCAACGAATCAAAAGTCACAAGGTCAAAGGGGCTAGGGCCTCAGAAAGGAAATCGTTCGGCAAAAGGAACACAAAAAATAGACTATATATTTAAAAGTAATAAAGCTGTGGGCAAAAGAAAGTCTCCGCATGTTAGACAAGAATTATGAAACTGGGTTGGTTCATCTTTCTATATGAGCAGGAATTACTAGCAGATGATCTTGGCATGGATGCTTGGACAGAATTTGAGGAAACGAAGCTGGCCAGGGCTTTGGCTGAAGTCGTAACGTATTACATGGATGCTTGTTCCATTCTCATGCGGCGGGATTCGGATCCCCAGCTATATTTGCTCGGCAAATGAAACCATATTGAAAACCTTGTTTGCAGAGCGACTTCTATCCGAAGCAGGATGCTCATTAGACAAAAATATTAGTCACGAGCTCCCTGAATTGTTTTGAACAAGTCATTCTTGCTGCATCTGTTGTTCATCCTAATGGCAAGACTGGTGACTCATGTACAGGAGGAGTGGTTAACCTGAGATTCTCAAACCATCTGGGGCCTCTCAGCATCTCCTCTGCAGTTCCCAGTTCTGACCACTGACCACAATTGCTGGAAATTGGAAGCCTGGTTTCCTATCATTGTGAGGTGCAAAATACATAAAAATGGTCATTTACACCCCAAAAGTGGCTTAATATAGTTTTATTTTAAAAACACACACAAACACATGTTCCACCCACTCTACTCTGAATCCTGGCTCTACCCTTTCTCTCACCTAGAATTAAATCCTTGTTGCTAATACCCCGGGTATTAATGGATCTGCGATTGTGAATGCAACGCCTAATTAATCCATAGACATAACACTTCACAAATGTCATTGCTTCCTGTTAAGAGAGATACAAGGTCTTGGTGTGGCTGGCTTAAATCTCTACATCCCCTGCAGAAGCAGGAAAGTAAACCAATCACTTCTAGGTGGTGGAGGTTACTGTAAGCTGACGGAGAACAAAGCACGCATCTTCACAGCTTCAAACCAACGGGATGATGGGTGTGTTTTCACGAAATTCTTAGGTTATCTGACAAGCAGAGGTCAGAGGTTCCAAGAGTTTTGTCTTGAAATTACTAAGTGCTCTTCGGCTGGCTGATAATTGAAAGCAGAGGCTAGAAATATCAAAGGAGGTAGGTGATAGATAAGTCACCGATAAATGGAGAGACTCTAGTTCTGATGCCCTCAAAGGGGCAGAGGCTCCAGGAATTCCCTGTTGTGTGGTATCAGTCACCTATTCCTATCTTTATCTTCTATCATTATCCAAGACCGGCGTTTCCCTGATCTCTTGGATCTTCAGGCATCCTCCAAGGATGCAGAAGAAAACCTGAACTTCCATAGAGGGTTAGAAATAGGAACCCACCAGAATGAAAAATGTCTGTTTCATTCAGTATGGACAGTTGCAAAAAGTATAAACTCTTGAGTATTATCCGTAACACTACAATAACCAGCAAGCTAATGAAGGAACTAGAGGCCACCAGATTGAATCCCATTCTAGAACATAATTATTTTCTTATTCATCTCAGATCCTGAATGCCACACTCTCCTTCACACTGACTGCGGCTACATGCAATGCAAATCAGTCACAGCACATAGAAATCTATTTCCTAACTTTCCCCAAGACACGCCTTTTACTTACGTTAATTTAAATTATACTGAATTAACAGGATTAGGAGAAACAATTAAAAAAAAACCTGCCTTCATATACCTGCTTTGACTCCAACAATCTCTGAAGGTGAGGTAGCAATGCCTGAATGGTCATTTTAGGATATGGAGTTTGCTGTTTAATTGAAACATTTTTATGTTCCAAGTAAACACCACGAATCGTTTAGAAAAATAAGTAAAGATGGGATAAAAAATACTTAAAAATAAGTGCATGATCCATTAAAAGTAAAATCAAAAGGCTTGTAACACAATTGGGAATTTTGTTAAGTACAGTATAAACCAAGGGTCTTCACCTCAAATTACCATGAATGCTGATATTAAAGTCTGCAGCGAGAAAATAGAATAATCCAGGATGCCTCCAAATATAAATTTATTTTTTAAAAAAACTATTGTAAAACAACCAAAGCAACATCCCATTCCAAACCTCCAAGTGGTTCCATACCAGGGGTGGGTTTCAACCGGTTCACGGCGATCCCTGCGAACCGGTTGGTCGCCG